AATTCCGCTGAAGTTGGGTTTGATTAGTCCCTTGATTTTGGGTTCAGTGTCCCTAAAACACGTGCGCAAAATGTTCTCAAACGGGCTTATTGATCCTAGCATTTTACTACGAAAACTTGACCTACCGTTATTTTAACTGATGGGACCCGTTGGATTTATTTTTGAAACTTCTGTAATGTGCGCTCTCACTGAAAATGGTGAGTAACATATATAGAGATTTTATAAGAAGTGTTCTTTTTACCGACTCGAGTGGGACATCTCCTATTATTCATGCAACGGATTATCTAATCGAAAGGAATTATTCATTGCTCAGACACTCTGCCACATATTATATTAATATATAGATTTAGCCAGGGCTAAAAGCGTAGCTTTCGATAATATTTATAGTTTGCTCAAACAAAATATAAAATCGTGTAGTGCTAAGCGGCGAAGGCTCCTTGGTTGTCTCTGCTTCACAAGACGAGAGTAGCTATGCGACTTCCTGTCAAAATAACCTCGAGTTGCATTTGTGTTGCCATACCTGATGATTATGCTATTTTACATTGGTATGCCTCTAGTGCTGATGGACGGTCGGGCGGGCGGTCGGTCGGTGTACGGTCACGTGATTACCAAATTTTCTAGGATGGGTAGTTTACCACATTTTCTTACCGATGGTGCTCCGCTGAGCTCGCTTCGCGCCCGAGATCTCCGGTATTAAGATCCAGTTTCTGTAAATATCGAAAATCCGGCAACAGTTTCGAAATTTTCAATTTTTTCATATTTTGTCCATTAAAGCCTTTAGTGAGGGTCTCAATGGGGTGGTGGCTTTTACGGTTATCGGCTAAAATTTTGGTTCTTTTACGGCTATTGGTTAATTTTTTTCAGTTACGGTTAACGAAAAAGTTGAAAATTAACTTCTTTTGTTTCAAAGAGTTAAATATTAATTAACCTGTATTTTTTGTATCTTTAAAGCAAAATAGAGGTCTTCGGAACATCTCGGGATAAAGTAAGCTTTTCGTTTGAAAAATTTTAACATTTGATAGATCATACTCTTTATAAAGTATTCCACTTTAGACATAGAAATGTCAATAGTCAATTTACGAATAATCTTTAATTTGTGAAAAATCAAAAGCAGACACGCGAACGCCCATTTCAAGGCCTGGGCGCGACATTCATTTTTAACAGAAATGGCCGTTTTCACACTAGAGACTGATTATTCGTGTGAGTCGGGTTATCCGTTTGATGATTCGCGCCGGATAGGTAATATGTCTTAATTTGAAAATGAAATAGTTTTAGTTTTGAATGAACAATCCGCCTGACGTTATCCATCAATTTTGACGGATAGTTTGAAGATGGATTATCCGTTTCAGATAGCCTGTGTACAGCCGCCTCAGAAAAAATCGGAGAAGGGGTGTCTTTGGGGGAGGGGGCGACTGTACACAGGCTAGTCTCGGACGGATAATCCATTTCAGAGCTCTTGTGTGAAAACGGCTAATAACAAAAGTCCCGTGTCCGGTGTTTATAATGATAGCGAAGGACTCTACGGAACGACTGTCTACCGTTGCCTTGTCCGTAGGCCTCATTATTCCACGCAGCTAATGCTTTTCGGGTCACCTAGTCCGGGCGAGTTCGCCCCCTAAATGCCTTGACCGAGATTGCGTGGGAAAGCGCCGTACAGGGACTAGGTATGGCAATGTCTACCATAGCGTCAGAGAAAAACATGGAATTGTCGTTTGTCGGTTACATGTTTTGCAAACAGTGACATCTCTGCGTATTGTTTCACTGGTGTTTCGAGGGCACGACCTTCTGAAATTCGCAAATATTAATCCCCAGCAAGAAGCCACACTTTCGCTATGGAAAAAATTAGTTCCCCGAGAGAGCGGCGGAAATGGAGCCTAGGTCGTGGTCAACACCTTAACAGCGCTTCGCCTGACGTGTGTACAGAGTCACAGTAGCCGGGAAATAAAAAAACGCAACCATAGCTGAGTTTAGCACCTTCCTTAAAATTAACAAATCTCGGGAAAAATTTCTTTTACGGTTAACTCTTTTTTACCCTATTTACGGCTAACGGTTAAAATTTTTCAATTTTTACGGCTATCGACTAAATTTTTGGCCGTTTTACGCCTATCGGTTAACCCCATTGAAACCCTCTTTAGTGAGTTATTTTTGAAATACAATTAAAAGATCCTAAAGCGCTCGAGTTTTTTCAAAATCGAGGAAAGTTTGAAAATCGCCATTTTGGCCTCCCGCCGATGATGAAAATTGACAAAAATGATGCGTTTTCTTTTCGCTCGTGCTGGTAAACGCGATAACATCTAGCAATGTACTTTTGATATATCATAGAACTTTGCTTGCTCTTTCAAAAAGCTGTCAAACTAGTCCAGTCTTTTTCTGGCCGTTTTAGTTACCCTACTTGAAGCGGGTGAGCGACTAGGCTAATTTTCGCCGATTTTAGACTACGCCTAGTTCCCATTTTTCCTCAGGGATAGTAGAGCGAGCCAAACGCGAGGGCGCGTGAAAATCAACCCACGCGAGAAAGGCGAGACGCGTCGCTGACAGGGAAAAATTCAAATTATCAATTTTGTTTGTCTTATGCACCTATCAATGTTATGCTGGGGGGGGGGTGGGGAGGCAGGGCAAGGGGTGGGGATTTGATTGTCTATGTTGGCCCTGGGGTAGGGCATTTGACTGATCTTGTTCTCGCAGAGGATGGGATATTTGAATCTTCTTTCGCCCGACGAGCTGTAACCTTTCCTCTCCGCCCGCCTCGTCTAGCTTTTACTATTTGCGGGCGGAGATGGCAAAATGAGTGGTGGGACAATTCTACGCAAGGGAACACAGATTATGGTTACAACGTATAATTGCAGCTGTAACAGGAAGGGTATCTTTGGTGATGCAGAAACGTAATGTAGATAAAGATTGCAGAATTTTATTTGGAGATATTTTTATTGTGCCTTTCTTGGGTTCTGCTTTGGGATTGACAACAATGTGCAGCTCGGGGAGGGGAAATTTGGTTGCAATTGATTGGAATGATTTGCCCATGGGAATTTGACTGCAAATTTTTTAAAAATGTCAAATCCCCACCCCATGCCCTGCCTTCCCCCCGCGCAGCCTTTACATTGACTTCAATATATATCGACCTTCGAGCACACAGTTGTGTCCCCACCCCTCACCCCCTAAGATAAAACCTTTTGTTTTTAGTCACGATGGCGTACGGTTGCGCGAAGTTTGCTCTACGAGAAATACATTCATATACTACACCAAACAAATGAAACTAAAATAGATGAAATTGAAAACACGCTAGTAAGTTTTTTCATGTTAACAGTTTGCCGCAATCCCTCAGAACAAGGTAGAACTGAACATCAAAATTTTAAACATGTACTGCCGTGAGACGTGGTACCCGCACTGTTGAAAAACTGCAGCAACGCTTGTCTCTCATCGAGTTTTACTTTTACGACTTTTTCTAGCGCTGCCCGTGTAATCAGATAACAGCATAAATTTTCTTATATTATTTGTTCTTCGATAAGCGATTTTAAGTCATTTTATCGGCTTCCCGACGAAGTGCTTGCTTTCAAAGGGCGAGCGAATTTGTCACGCAACGTAATGTACATGTTACAAAATGTCTGTGTTAGAAGGTGGACCGGTTTAAACAGCTTATTACAAAGTTATAAACTTGTAGTATTAAAAAGGCTTATGAAAATACAATCCGTGTTGTGGAACGAACCGAAGTTGAAATGGTTGTTTTGATTGGTTTGGTGTTGACATATATGAGTCTACAATGGAAGCGTTCGGTACAATGAGTTAAAAAATCAAAAGGTAACGGTTGCATATGTGTACATTATCCGATATTCAAGCGCTAACAAACATGTGGAAGGTTTTCCAGGACAATTTTTCAGTTGTTAGCCTAGGTATGTAGGGAAACATGTTGCTCCTTAAATTGATTTAGGTGCCAAAACAGTCCTCCCGTTTCCGTTTCTCTACTGGGTACTTTTTGCGGGCCACGGATAAAATTTTCACACAACAAAGTATCAAGGATTTGCTTTAAGACCATTATAGTTTTGGCCTCAGAGTTCATGTACCAGTGAGCTCTATTTACTCTCTCTCTCTTTGATCTTACGATCTTATGAATATAATGTCTTGAATTTTTTGTATAGTGTAGTTTATTAGTTAGTTGCGTAGTCATTCTTATCTTATTTTAGTTTTTATCCTTATATTATGTTATTATGACAGGACCCCTTTGATAACAGTGCTATTGCACTGAAGGGCTCTATCCTGTATAAATATTCGTTATCATCATCATTATTATTATTATTATTATTATTATTATTATTATTATTATTATTAGTATTATTATTACCGGTCCAGCCCCCCAGGGGCAACCAACGTCAATTTTCGGAAAATATCTGTTCGGAAGACGATTTGAGATCTAGAATTTTCGGAACATTTGTTGTAAAATTTCTTGTTTGCCTGCCTCTCCTAGGATTTCCGAACATCCAAAAAATGGTATAATTGCCCATTTTTAACGGATTTTTACCCTAAAAACATGCTAAAAAGGTCACCTAGAATTTTCGGAAGCCTTTTTTCTGGCTGAAATTTTCGAAAAAGTAACTTTTGATCTCCATAAGTTTCGGATCACTAGACTTTCAGCTAGGAAATCCGAACAGATGAAAAATTTTTAGGGGATAAAAATATGCCTATATCTACTGTTTAAATCAGTACTAAAATACTTCTAACAACGCTATGTTTAAGTGGTTTTGAACTATATTCTCGTTGGGTGCCCCTGAACCCCTGATCTTTCTGCATGCGGCAGCGCTTAACTTCCAATATGAAAGGATAAAGATAAACCAAACTGTTAGAAAGGTGAGACTATAAACTGACAATTCGCTGTTTTCCCACTGCTTGCTTGCTGCCTGGTTCGAATTTGCATATCGGTGAATGGCGGCAGCATGGCGCATTGGAGGTGAACATGAAAGTGAACTGAACCTATCATAACCACTTAATTTCCGAGTTAATTCATAGTGATGGATGCGAAAGGTTATCTGAATGTCAATGACTTACGGAAAATTTGGAAGGAAGAATTTTTGCCTTGTATTAAGCGTGAATTGAAAAGCGAACTCGAAGCACTCAGAACAAGCATTAAGACCTTGACAGCACGTGTTGACGGGATAGAGAAATCTCAGTCCTTTATATCGGAAAAGTACGAGTCTTTTCTAAAAACGCTCAAGTCATTGAACCAAACGACAAACACGCCGGGGAAAAAGGATGCTGAGCTGACAAAGATCGCCTACAGCTTGGCCGAGCGAGCTAACCGTGTGGAGCAGGCAGTCTACAGAATTGATTGTGCAATCGACGAAGTTCAACAATACTCTCGAAGAGACTGTCTGGAAATAACGGGCATTCCAATACTGCCGGAGGAAAGTCCAAAGCTGCTTAACTTATCAAAGAGATTGGTACTTTAATCGATGTAAATGTTGAAGACGATCACCTAGCAGCAGCTCACCGGCTTCCGGACACCGAGAATGTGAAGCATCGGTTGATTGTCAAGTTTGTACATAGAGATAAAAGAGAAGAAATGTAAAAGAAACGTAGGAATCTAATTGGAAAGAATATTAACAACTTGCCCTCCGTACAAGCCGCAATGGGTCTCGCTGGTACAAGCAACAATAAAATCCACATCAATGAATCTCTCACAAGTTATCGCAGACAACTCTTTGGTCGTATCAATGACTTCAAGCGAAAGAACAATTAGAAATATCTATGGACTGCAAATGGGAAGATCATGCTGAAGGCTCATGATTCTTCAGAAACCAAATCTTTTGTTACACATGAGGAATTTGAAGACTACATCGAATAGATAAGCAATAACTCGTAATTCTTTTTTTCTTCCTTACACTTATGTGCCCTATGATAATATCTAACCTATAGACACATAAATGTTCAACCTCAATCATCCCCAAAATAGCCTGCAAGCTTTACCTTTTCCAAAATTGTCTCTGGGATCGTAATGGTAGATATCTCTGATCACCTCCCAGTTGTCTGTGTTACAAATATACCAGTTAAGAACCACAACCCTATTAACCCATTCGCCCCTGAACCGCCCGTAACCGCCCGTGCGGATCCAGGTCCTTTCTACCCATTGTGACGTCATCAGTTTTAACGGTCAAGGACAACTTTCTTCACTAACTTGTGTAGAGTGAAGAGATCTTTCAAACCATACCAGAATGAGCACAATTCAGTCAAGGGCACCGGAGAAACAAGCAAAAAAACCACGCGACATTGACCTGAAAATCTCCATGAAAATCTTGTTCCATTACCCACCTACCTTTCCTTTCGGCTAATCCTAAGATCCTAAAAGCTTTCCTAAAAACTCTTCCCACCAAAATCAAGCCTACTAAATGCCCAGCAAGAGAAAAAAAAATGAGGCAAGAAAAGCAAAAAAAAAAAGGGAGGAGAGAAAGCGAAAAGTAAAAGTCAAGACTGCTGTGTCACTTTTAAACCCAAAAACTGTCGAAATTTTGCTTTCTGCGCATGCCCGAACTTCGCAAGCTGATATTTTGCATCTGGATCAGAAGGCCGCGAAGTGTTCGACCTGTAAACCAGTTTGTGGTAAGTTTTAGCTCTTTATAGCACGACAGTGACCAGAAAACCACTCGACTAGCTTCAAAACGCGTTTTTCGGCAAAATCTCCAGGAGCGAATGGGTTAAGTATTATCAGAAACTCATAAGGGGTTGAAACGTGTAACTCGCGTTCAATGCTCATGAATATTCACTTTTGCCATATTTGGAAACCTTAGTGGCAGATATTCATTTTAAACAAAAGGCTGACACTCGATCACCCCGCAGATGTTTTAAGACAAGAGTGCTGCATTTCAAGGTTAAAAATACACCGTTAAAAGACAAAAAATGGAAAGAGAAAGTTCAAAAGAATGCTCAGCTTTCTTTTTGTGGCGGAAGGGAAGCTTTTCATCAAGAAATTGTCCTTCGAGGAATTCAACCTTGTTTTCTTCACGACTGCGCGCATGGTATGTTTTGAAATGCAACCAAGGCAGTGAAGTTTTTGCTGAATTTTAAGGTACATTTTGCACTCTATGGCCAAGACAATTGCGTTTTTGAAAAGGAATTTATGTATTTTTAAATGTTTCATGGACATTTTATAAATTTTTCTCTTCGGCGCTAACGAAAAATTACAAAATGTGCCCCGATTTGAGATGGACTTTGTGTTGAATTTTGCCATGTGTTCAGCCTATTTCACTTGCGTGAACGGATCCACGATCCAGATAGTGTTTTCCGAATTGCTCTAAAAGACTAACTTTTTGGATTTTGAATAAAAATTTTCAAGAAACGGCTTCTCTGTCTATTGTTTTGAGTTTGTTCATTCATAACATTAGCTCATAACACGATCGTGACTAAAATATCCAAGCTGAATTTAAGCTTAAATGCTTCTCACATTCATTACACGCATCAATTTTTACGAAGATGTCAGGTACAGGTTTTGGACACTTTTCGATACGCAGCTAATGAATTTTATTCGAAAATATTTTTTACTGTTTATTCTAGACTTTTAATATAAGTTAGAAGCGTATTTGCAGTATAAGTTTACTGTGCAGATGGTCAACGAGGCATCGTTGTTTGAAGTGACAACTTCAAGAAGTTGCGAGGACGTCAATGGGTTTCATAAAGTTATGTTTGGCCCGGGTAGTGAGGCAATAATATCCTGCTCAGTGTTTCGGTACGATTCCTGGTTTCAACCTTTGAAAGCTTTCTCGGCTTTCGGGAGTTTTCCCCCCGTTTGTCGGCCATTTTTTCAAGCGGGCGCGGGAACCTGAAGTAAAATTACGTCACGTTGTTGACAAAGTTTGATTGGTCAGTCATCTCTTCTTCTCGTTCCAAATATGGTACTTTTGAAAATGAATAATCACGAGCATCGGACAAAGCAAACATATCAGAGTTACACGTTTCAACCCCTTATGAGTTTCTGGTATTATCGAGATTACAGCAATTTTGATCAAGAATCTTACTTACAGGATATCAATGAGGTCAACTGTAATGCTATCTATAGTAATGATCTGCATGAGACAGCTACTAAAATAACTGACCTGGTCAAATCAATTGCAGATAAACATGCACCAATAAGGCAATTGTCCCAAAAGAAACTGTAATTGTGTACTAAGCCGTGGATAACTAATGGTATTCTTAAATCAATCAAAACTAAGCATAAATTATACAAAACACACTTTCTTCCTAACAATCCAATTAAGGTGACGGAATATAAAAAGTATGCTAACAAACTGAATTGGCTTAAGAACATTTGCAAAAAGAACTACTTTTCACAATACTTTGACCTATTTAAAAACAACCTGAAGGCATCTTGGAAATTGATGGGTATGCTAGTTAAGCGCAACTCAAAGGGACAAACTCCTATCTCGAAAATTAAACGTAATAATAGAGCTTACACTAATAAGGCTGAGATTGCCGATCAATTTAATAAGCATTTTGTCAATGTGGGTCAAAACCTAGCCAAAAGAATTGAAAATTGTGATGGAAGAAAGTAGCTAGCTTTGTTATGTCCTGTGTTACTGAAACCCAAGTATGTTCACTATTTAAAGGTTTAAATGATCATAAGTCAGCCTTAGATATTCCTAATAAATTAATTAAAATAGCTGCCCAGCCATTGTCAATACCTTTAACATATATCTATAACCAGTCTATTGAAACTGGAATTGTTCCTGATATTTTAAAAGTCTCACAAATTTGCCCAGTGTATAAGGGTGGTGATGTTACAGACCCTAGCAACTATCGGCCCATAGCAACTTTCTCACCTTTTAGTAAAGTGCTCGAGCGTCTAGTCTATAATCAGTTATATTCGTTCATAGATAAAAAACAAATCTTGTATAAATATCAGTTTAGTTTTAGGACAGGATATTCCACTGAACAAGCTATTCTTGAAATTACTGACAATCTGAAGCTAGCTACTGACAAAGGTCAAATAACATGTGGTTTATTTCTCGACCTATCAAAGGCCTTTGACACAGTAAATCATAAAATACTGCTCTCTAAACTATATCTGTATGGAATTCGGGGTACATCACATAATTGGTTTGAAAGTTATTTGCATAGTCGAAGACAATATGTTAAAATTGACTCTACTAAATCTACCTATGAAAATATTACCTGCAGTATACCCCGAGGCTCGACTCTAGGTCCTCTTTTATTTTTGCCTTCATGTGAACGACTTACCAAACTGTGTCGACAAACTTTCGGTGCGGAGCTTTAATTTGCTGATGACACCAATTTATTTTACTCTAGCGACAACTTAAAACAGCTTGAATCCGTAATGAATCAAGAACTTAAACAAATTTATAACTACTGTGCTCTAAATAAGTTATCTATTAACACTGCAAAGACCAATTACATGTTAGTCTCATCATCTAGGTGCCAGAAAGATTACATAAAGTACTTGGGAGTTTATACAGATAAACATCTCAATTGGCAACCACAGATACAACATGTAAATAATAAATTAGCTAAAAATTTAGGAATCCTTTCAAAACTAAGATATTACATGGATCTTAATATACTGAAACAAATTTATTATGCTTTAATATATCCCTATTTGAGCTACGGTATTCTTGCTTTGGGCTGTGCCAGCAAAACCAGATTAGATTGTCTTCGTATTAAGCATAACAAATGTCTCCGCACCATCCTCTTTGTACATCCTAGAGAGAGTGCTGCTCCCTATTTCAAACTCCTAACAATCCTTAAATTAGATAATATATATAAATTAAAAATATGTCGTTTATACATAGAATGAGAAATGAGACTGATAGCATTCCAGATATTTTCCTTGGTGTCCTGACTCCAGCATCGCGTATACACAATCATAATACAAGATTTGTCAGTAATTTGAATTATTTTAGGCCAAGAGTATCCACCAACTTAGGTGAGCCGTCCTTTAAATTCTCCGCTCCAATAATCTGGGAGACTGTACCGCCTGGTCTCAAGTGTCTGCCATATCATAAGTTTAAGAAAGAATGGAAGTCCTGTCTTCTAACCAGCCAAATCTGACCTTGCTTATACGTTCTATCACTGATATTATTTGAGATTTTATTCCTCTCTTCACTGCTGCCAATTATTTCAACATGACGGTGTTCAACAAGAAAGCTTTTGCTACTTTGGACACCGTACACAAATGAACTTCATGTCTTTTAGTTAATTATTATTTGTCAGCTACTTTATTTTCCTACCTACGTACAGTTATGTAAATATTTTATATAGTGTGAATAACAATGATAGTGACTAGTGATCCGAAAATTATAGGGATCAAAACTTACCCTTTCGAAAATTTCAGCCAGGGAAAGGCTCCCGAAAATTCTAGGTGGCCTTTTTTAGGGTAAAAATCCGTTAAAAATAGGTAATTATACCATTTTGAAGATGTTCGAAAATCCTAGGAGAGGCAGGC